GGACTTCATTCTGTTAACATGAAGCCTCTCCAAAGAGCTTAAACATTTAGGAAACTACTCTTCACTTGATTCTAACAAGAAAAAAGTATTGGTTGGCAAAGTCGGTGAAAAGAAATGGGGGGAAATGACTATGTTAAAGTTCACAACAGCCAGGCAGAGACATGCTGGGCATGAGCAGAAGTATATTCTACACAGTGGGAGGATAGGTCCTAAGTTTAGAGGAAGATGAATGTGATTTTCTGTGTATTGACACTGGGAGAGAAGATGGTTAATAAGAATAGAAACTCTGCAAAATGTCATCCTGACTGTATAATCACAAGTGAGTCAATGAAGGAAAAATGTAGGAGGCCTAGAGTACTATAACTAAAAAAAGAAGCAAAGTTTGTTCAACATATAAAAAATTCAATGAATGCAATAAGCCATGTTAATAGAATGAAAGACAACAATGATAGAGTAGTTTCCACATTGTCATCTCAATAGCTGCAGAAAGAAACATTTGACAATATCTAATGCCTGCTCATGATTAAAAAAAAAACTCAAAAAACTAAGAACAGAAGAGTATTTCCTCAACCTGAATAATGGCATCTATCAAAAACTCACAGATAACATTAACTCAATGATGAAAAACTGAAAAATTTCCCCAAGTATTAGGAATAAGACATGGATGTCTGCTCTTACCTCCTCTCTTCAATATTGTACTGGACATTCTGCTTCACATTGTACTGGAAGTTAAAAATAAAATGAAATAAAGACCATCCAGATTGGAAAGAAAGAATAGGAAATATGTCTATAATTGGATGATGTGATCTTGACATAGAAAACACTATGGAATCTACAAAACAGTTTTGGAACTAATAAATGAGTTTAGCAAGATTGTAGGATGCAAGATCATTAAAAAAAATCAGTTGTATTTCCATAGACTAGCAATGAACAACCTAAAAGTGGAATTAAGAAAACAATTCTGTTTGTGTTAGCATCGATAAGAACAAAATACGCAAAAATAGATTTAACGAAAGAAGTATAAGACTTGTACACTGAAAACTACAAAACATCAACAGAAATTAAATGTAAAAAAATGGAAAAGAGTCCCTTGTTCATGGGTTGGAAGTCTTAATATTCTTAAGATGGCAATACTTCCCAAATTGATCTATGTTTTCAATGCAATCCCTAACGTAATCCCAGCTGGCTTTTTTGCGGGAATTGAAATGTGACTCTAAAATTCATATGGAAATGCAGTAGCCAAAACAATCTAGAAAATGAAGAACCGAGTTGGAGGACTCACATTCCCCAATTTCAAAACTTAATACAAACCTACAATACTCAATATGTGGTCCTGGCATAAGGAAGGACATAGGGATTAATGAAATAGAAGTGAGAGTCCAAAAATAAACCTATATATTTATGTTCACTTGATTTTTGACGAGGGTACCAAGGCAGTTTAATGGTGAAAGAATAGTCTTTTCAACAAATTGTGCTGAGATAACTGGATATCCACAGTCGAAAGAATGAAGTTAATCCCTTACCTCACACCATATGCAAAGATTAACTCAAAATAGATCAACAACAAAGATATAAGAGCTAAAACTATAAAAAATATCAGAAGAAATCACAGGTAAAAATCTTACTGATCTTGGATTATGCAATGACTTGTTAGCTATAACACCAAAAACGTAAACAACTAAAGAAAAATAGATAAATTCATCTTCATCAGAAATAAAAACCTTTACGCTTCAGAGGACGCTATCAAGAACCTAAAAGCAGCCCAGAGAATGGGAGGAAATATTTGCAAATTATTTATCTGAGATATCTATCTCTCTCTCTCTCTCTCTCTATATATATAGATATATATATATATATGAAGAACTCTTACAACTCAACAATTAAAAGACAACCCAATTAAAAATTGGGCAAAGTATTGACTACACATTTCTCCAAAGAGAATATGCAAATCACCAACAGGCACTTGAAAAGGTGTTCAACATTTTCAGTCGTTAGGTAAACGCAAATCACAGCCATAATATAATACCACTTACTACCCACAAAAATGCCTTCGATAAAAGGATAAATAATAATAACTATTGGCAAGGATATAGAGAAAAGAAAATCTTCACACATTGCTGGTGGGAATGTGAAATGGTGAGGCTGCTTTGGGAAACATTTTGGAAGTTTCTGCAAAAGTTAAACCTACATTTAACATGTGACCTATTCATAGGTATCTACCCAAGAGAAATGAAAACATATGTTCACATATACACTAAAAACCTTGTATAGGAATGTTTATAGCAGCATAATTCATAATAACCAAAACATGGACAAAACCTAAAAGTCCACCATCTGATAAATGGATAAATAAAATGTGGTATATTCATGCAAGAGAATATTATTCCATCATAAAAAGAAGGAAGTGCTGATACATTCTACAACATAGGTGAATCTTGAAAATATTATACTTAGTGAAAAAAGCAAACACACGAGGCCACCTCTTGTATGGTTCCCTTTGTATGAAGGGTCCAGAACAGGCAAATCCACAGAGACAGCAAGTTGACTGGTGCTTGCCAGGCACTGAAGAAAGAGGGATAATGGGGAATAAGACATGATTGGTAATGAGTATAGAGTTTCTTTGTTCCAGTGGTGAAAATATTCCGGAATAATGTAGTGGTGGTGCACAACCTTTTGAATATACCAAAAACCACTGAAACGTACACTTCAAAGTTGAGAATTTGATGGCTTATGAATTATATATTATTATTTTTTAAAAATAGAAAACATCATACTTTAGGAAATCTTCCTTATCAATCAGGAGCAAAATGAAGATCTTTGTAATCACTACTTTCATTCACATTGTTCTGGAGGTTTTATCTCACGTACAAAGGCAAGAAGAAGGAGCAACAGGTAAGAGGATTTACAAAGAAGTAATATGATACTCAGTATTCACAAATATAATTACTGTGTACATAGAAAATCCAAGGCAATCTTTGGTTGCATTATTAGAATTAACAGGGGTGTTTAGCAAGGTTGCTAGATATTAAAAGGTATCTATCAAAAGAGGAAAAAAAGTTTTATTTATATGACAGATATAGCCAAGTAAAAAACTAAATTAAAATAATTCTACTTATAATATCATAAACATTATTTAACTAACAATAAATGTAATAAAAGATGTGCAAGAACTCTTCACAGACATCTACAAGACACAATTATGAGGAGTTAAAAAAGATTTAAACAAACGAAGGGATATATTATGTTAATGAGTTGGAAGACTCAATGCATGAAAAATGTCAATTCTCCCCGAAAAGATCGATGATCGCGATATGATATAGTTAAAAGGCAAGCAGCTTTTGTGGGTATGTGTGGGGGCTGTGTGGAAAGAGTGGGACTTACGAGATTCTAAAATGTATCTGAATAGGCAAAAGGCCAAGACAATCTTGAATAAGAACAAAGTAGGAGGTTTTACACAGCCAGACATCAAAATACATTAAAACTTTGCTGTCCTTTAGATGGTGTGATTGATATTGGCACAAGAACAAACAAACAGACCTACAGAGCAGAATAAGAATCCAAGAAAATGATCCATGCAAATAACATGACTTGATTTACAGCAAATGTAGTAAGGCGGATTAATGGGGAAAGGATGGTCTTTTAATAAATGATGCTGGGACAGTAAGATATCCAGCTGGGAGTAAATGAAACTTGTTTCTATCTCTTAATATATAACAATTAATTACAGCTATATTGTAGATATAAGTGTAAAAGGTAAAATAATAAAGCTTTTAGAAAATAATAAGGGAGAACATTTTCCTAATCTTGAGCTACTAAAAGATTTTTAAAGACTCTAAACGCAGCAAAATTAAGAAAAAGGCAGATTCATTGGGCTACATTAAAAGTAAGAACTTCTACTAACAAAAGACAACATTAAAAAATTGAAAAGGTAAGACAGAATGCAGAGTGAGAGAAAATATTTGTAACGTATATAATCTAAATAGTATGTATATTTAACATATATCTAGAATCTATAAAATCAATAAGAAACTGACAACCAAGAAGAAATATGGTAAAAGACTCGATCAGGAACTTCATGGAAAAGGAACAACAAACGTCTGATATATATTAGTCATCAAAGAAATGCAAATTTAAAACATAAGTACATACCAGTATAATTCAGTAGGCTCACAATATCAGACAACAGGAGACACTGCAGGGAGTGAAATGTTGAAAAACTATTTTATTTCTCTGTTAATGTTGGCTGTAGGCTTTCCCTATGACTTGGCAATTTCACTCCTACGTATGTACCCAGAAGAGAGAAAAAACATTTAAGAACTTGTGGCTGACAATTTTCCACATCAGGTGAAATACATAAATTTCAACTTCAAATATACTTTTGCTATCATCTTATCTAACCTATCTACCTCAATTTATAGAAGCGAGTATGCGCAAGTTGAGATGTCTCACCTGAGATCACTGACCCAGCTAGGAAATAGTGATGGATTGATGCTGTTTGAAACCCAGCGTACTGCTTCTGCCTCTATCCTCTTTCTTTGGCACTAGTTTGCATATGAAAAAGAATGTGCCAACCATCCTCTACCCGTGTCTCTGATCGAACTGGGAAACAAATTTCGAATAGGTTGCCACAGATATAGAGATGTTGTAGACTTCAGTAAGACTTTCTGGGAGCTCAGACTGGGACCCAAGCAGGGCTCCATTCATCACAGAATGTCTCAGCATCCTGACCTTTGACCTTCACCAGGCCAGTAGGAACTATCACAGGACCAGATAGAAATGATGCTGGTGATGCTTCCTCTCTTTCTCATTTCTGAAAAAGGTTCTTAACTGGTACTCCCAATTAAGAAAAAGATCAAACACTAATTTACAGAAGCCTCAAAACACTAGGGGACAATTTCCTCCCAACAATTCCCCAGTGAGTACAAAAACAATGTAAACAACAACGAGGAAAGTCCTGCTTATTGGTCACAACATCGGGGGTCCAGTGTATAAAAGCCCCAGAACAGAAGGAGTCATCAGAATCTGAGAAATTCACCTCTGAACAGAAGTTCACCTTCTACCCTTGACCATGACCCACTCTTGCTGCTCCCCTTGCTGCCAGCCCACCTGCTCTGAGTCCAGCTGCTGTGGACAAACCTGCAGTCAGTCCAGCTGCTGCCAACCTTGCTGTCCCCAGACACGCTGTCAAACCACCTGCTGTAGGACCACCTGCTACCAGCCAACTTGTGTGACCAGCTGTCGCCCTTCGTGCTGCAGCGCTCCCTGCTGCCAGCCCACCTGCTCCGAGTCCAGCTGCTGTGGACAAACCTGCAGTCAGTCCAGCTGCTACCAACCTTGCTGTCCCCAGACACGCTGTCAAACCACCTGCTGCAGGACCACCTGCTACCAACCAACCTGTGTGACCAGCTGCTGCCCCGCTCCCTGCTGCCAGCCCACCTGCTCTGAGTCCAGCTGCTGTGGACAAACCTGCAGTCGGTCCAGCTGCTGCCAACCTTGCTGCCCCCCAGCTTGCTGTCAAACCATCTGCTGCCAGCCAGCTTGCTCTGGACCTGTGTACTGCCGGAGAACCTGCTACCACCCCACCTGCGTCTGCCTGCCTTGTTGCCAAGCCCAGAGCTGCGGATCCAGCTGCTGCCAGCCTTGCTGCCACCCAGCCTGCTGTGAGTCCAGCTGCTGCCAGCCTTCCTGCTGCTGATCACCTCACCAAAGAACCACCATCTGCACAAAACACCTTTTGTTAATTGAACTTGCCATGTTTTGGGCAAATTCACTTCCTAGAATTTGCTGACAAGCAGCACGCTCTACCATCATTTCTATTACTCATCTGCCTGTTTAAAAGCTTGTGAATCAGCTTGATGGGGTGCAGAGGGCTTCCCCCAATTCATTTCCTCCTTATGTATGTGGATCATGTGACAGCTTCGTGCATCCTCTGAAGTCAGGATCACCTGTTCCCTCTCAGTAACTTAGGAAAACAAACCCTCATAGCTTTTTCATAGGTTTCTGCAACTGATCAATACTCTTCATAGTCATATTTTCTTTATCAATGTACTCATGTTTCTTGTATTCTCCTTTCTTCTTTTATGACCACTTTGAGTTGTTTTCCTAGATGCAGGAATCTTACCTTTGTGTTTCTTAATAAATTCTACACCATAATTCACTCCATATTGTGTTGATTTATCGTACAGCATTCCTGATCCTGGGATTAAATACACATTGCACACCATAAGCATTATCTGCTCGGAGAACTGTAATAGCCCCCAATTATTGTATCCATTCTTCAGAAAAACATATTTCATTGTGTAATGTCATATAGCCAATAATGAATAGACTCAGATTCAGGATGGGCTCTATTCCTGCTCAAAAGCACTTACTTTTAGGGGCCGGCCCAGTGGCTGAGTGGTTAAGTTTGTGCGCTCCGCTTCGGCGGCCCAGGGTTTCCTCAGTTTGGATCCTGGGCGCGGATATGGCACCGCTCATCAAGCCATGCTGAGGCGGTGTCCCACATGCCACAACTATAAGGACCGACAACTAAAAGATACATAGCTAGGTACTGGGGGGTTTGGGAAGTATTTTCTCTTTCCACTGGCTTCGGATACCAGAAGCTGTTGATCTGTAGCAGTAGAAATTCTCCATCTGGCATAAAAGCTGCTATTAAGACTATCAACTAATGAGGCTTAAGGTATTCCATAATCGTATATTACAGTCAGTTAGTTTTTGCAGGAATCCAATGGAATTGTGCTGGCAATTGTCACGTATTCTTTAGTCACTGAGGTCAGCACTAAACTCTGCCGTTCTCCGTGGACAGGCTATAGCTTCTCATTAATACCTTGGTTTGGATGTTTATAATTTATAAATTTGAAGTTAGTTTGTGTTAAGTTGGGGTTACAGAGATAAAAAAAAGAGACTAAATCTTAAATTACCAAAGAAAAAGAAAAGGAAAAGAAAATATTCTCTACAAAAAATAAGGGTGATGAATAAACTTGTTTTTGTGATATCCCTTGAAAATACAAGAATCGTGGTCTCTTCAGGAAGGCATCTGCCTGTAGACTGGCTGACCCAGTAAAAGAGGGGAAAAAAGAGAAAGAAAATGCTTCCAGATTCATCCATGCGTGGACGTAATATGCAAGATGATAGTGCGAAAAGAAAGGAATATTTAAAGGATGATGGCACAATATATATGAGAAACAATTCATGAGGTGACGAATTTTTCTATATTTTCCCCCAGGTATACAGCTAGTGAGTGGCAGAACAGGAATTTGAATACTGTTCCATATGATTTTAATTCCCATAACCAAGATCTCTTGTCTTCTACTTCCGCAGTAGAGAATGTATGGTGGAAGATAAAATCAGAGATGAATAGATTCACAATCTTTGAGGGAGCTTAGAAGAGAGAATGGATAATGCAACTAGAAGCATCTTACAAAATTGGCACAGATGCGAGTGATAAGAATGGTAACAGACATCCATATATTTCAAGGATATTTAATTCCACTAAACCAGAATCTGGTAACATCTAGAATATTTAGGGAAACTGCTCTGAACTTAATCTTAACAACAAAGATCTATTTGGCAAGGTCGGTGACGGGGGCCTTGGGGAAAAATGAGCATCTTAAAACTCATGCAGTCAATAGCGGAAAGTTGTCCATAGTTGGAGGCGCATCCCATGAGGTGGGAAAGCACACACCAGAGGTTAGAGTAAAATGAAAGTGATTTTGCAGCACAGAATATCAAGGGTTCTGATGAGAGGAGGAACTGCTCAGCAGTGCCGTTCTGACTGACCAGTGATTCCAGTGAGGAAAGTATGCAGGAGACCCAAGGCGGCAGGGATGTTAACATAGTGTTTTACTAGTTCTTCTCTGTTTCTTTTTTCTCTTACTCTCTTCCCTTGTGATTTGATGGCTTTCTCTAGTATTATGTTTGGGTTCCTTTCTCTTTATTTTTTGTGTATTTATTATAGCTTTCTGGTTTGTGATACCATGAGGTTCATATATAGTAACCTACATAAATAGCAATCTACATTAAGTTTATGGTCCTTTAAGTTTGCCCTCTTACTAAAAGCCCTACATTTTTACTACACATACCCCACATTTTATGTTTGTGATTAGTCTAGGCATCATTCTTTAGCTTTAAAGTGCTTTTTTGCATAAATTGGTTCTGCTCCTATTTGTATCTTTTAAATCCAGCTTTAGAAGGGCAGTCCTATCAACTATAGTTAATATGATTTGTGCATGGTAAATTTTAAAAACAAAAAAAAAATCTATTGATGAACTATTAGAAGTAATAAGGGAGCTTGGTCACAAGATCAACATACAGAAACGAGTTATTTCTCTATATGTCAGAAACAGTGAAAAATTAAAATTTCAAATTGTAACCTGTAATAGCATGAAAAAGAAAATGCCTGGGAATAAATCCAATAAAATATGGGAAAGACCTCTACAGAAAACAGTATAAACACTTTGACCAAGCTATTCTGTGAGCAATTCTACTTGTAGATGTTTATCCAACAGAAATGTTTATGTATTTTTGCCAAAGGATCTGTACGAAAACATTCATAGCAGCATTATTTTTATTAGTTCAAAATTGCAAACAATCCACATGTATATCCACAGTAGAGTGAACAAATAAATTGTGTCATATTAGTGCAATAAAAGATTATACAGCAAGGAGAATGAATGAACCACAGATAATCACGTAATCACATGGATCAGTCTCCCAATTATAATATAAACAGGAAGTGGCCAATTCTATACTATTTAATTTACATAAAGATTAGAAACAGTCTAAACTTACCTACCTTTGGGAATGGGAGTATAATTGGAAGGAGATAGGCTTAAGTTCTATTTTGTAACTTGTTAACAGTGACATGGATGTGTTTGCTTTGAGGTAATTGATCAAGTTGGACATTGATAAGAATTTATCAAGTTGGAAATAAAAAATTTGAGCACTTGTTAAAATGAATGTTAAACCTCAAAAAAGTTTTGAACATGTTAGAATGCAAAGATACCTCAGTTATCACCTCATCTAATCTAATTACTTCATTAATGAAAGAAAAAGAGGGGCTGGCCCAGGGTCATGGTGGTCAAGTTTGTGTGCTCCACTTCGGTAGGCTGGCGTTCATGGGTCTGGATCTTGGCTGTGGACCTATACACTGCTCATCAAGCCATGCTGTGGCAGCATCCCACATACAAAATAGAGGAAGATTCACACAGATCTTAGCTCAGGGCCCATCTTCCTCACCAAAAAAAAAGAAGAAAGAGAAGAAAAAGGAAGTACAGTGACCTGAATGACTCTGGTAGTAAACAGATTAGGCATAGAGTGACCAACTGCTCTGACCTCCCCAGGGCAGCAGGAATCATATCACACAACCAGGTTGTGATTGAAGCAGGAACAAAGCTGAGAATGTGACCATTTCTTTTTATCCGAAAAAAAAGTTTCTGTGAGTTACTTTCAATTAAGAAACAGATTAAACAATTATTTTGAAAAGATTCATAACATTTAGAGAATAACTTCCTCTTTACAATTCCCCCAGTGGTCATGGAAAACAATGTAAACAAGAATAAGTAAAGTCCTGCTCTTTGGTGCCAACTTTGGGGGTTGCACGTATAAAAACTCCAGAACAGAAGTCATTCTCAAAAACTCACCTCTGAACAGGAGCCCACCCTCCACCTCTGACACCATGACCCACTCCTGCTGCTCCCCTTGCTGCCAGCCTACCTGCTGCAGGACCACCTGCTGCCAGCCCACCTGCAGTGGGTCCAGCTGTTGTGAGTCCAGCTGCTGCCAGCCCTGCTGCCCCCAAACTCGCTGTCAAGACACCTGCTGCAGGACCACCTGCTACCAACAGCTTGTGTGACTAGCTGCCGCCCTTCCTGCTGCAGCGCTCCCTGCTGCCAGCCCACCTGCTCTGAGTCCAGCTGCTGTGGACAAACCTGCAGTCGGTCCAGCTGCTGCCAGCCTTGCTGCCCCTCAACTTGCTGTCAGACCACCTGCTGCCAGCCAGCTTGCTCTGGACCCGTGTACTGCTGGAGAACCTGCTACCACCCCACCTGTGTCTGCCTTGGTGCCAAGCCCAGAGCTGCGGATCCAGCTGCTGCCAGCCTTGCTACCGCCCAGCCTGCTGTGAGTCCAGCTGCTGCCAGCCTTGTTGCTGTTGATCACCTTGCCAAAGAACCACCGTCTGCACACAATGCCTTCTGTTAGCTGACTTGCCATTTTGGGGGCAAATTCACTCCTACGCTTTGCTGACAAGCAGGATGCTCTACCGTCATTTCTGTAACTCATCTATCTGTTGAAAGACTTGTGAACCAGCTTGATGAAATGCAGAGAACTTCCCCCAGTTCTCTTCCTCTTTGTGTATGTGGATCATGTGCCAGCTTTGTGCATCTTCAATATGAAATTATGATCCCTGCTTGGACTCTGAAGTCAGGGCCACCTGCTCTCCCTAAGTAACTTAGGAAAATAAATCTTCATAACTTTTTCATTGGTTTATGCAACTGATCAATACTCTTCATGATCATATTTTCTTTTTTAATGTACTCGTGATTTTTTATCCTGCTTTCTTCTTTCCATAATCACTTTGAGTTGTCTATATATTTCTTAATGATATTCTATACCATTTTCATTCCATATACTGTTTTTCTTTACTGTACAGTATTTCTGAATTAGGAACTTATATACATATTGCATACCATATGCATTATCCAACTTGAGCTGCAAAACATCTCACTATAAATTATTTTCCACATTTTTAGATGAGAAAATTTCATTGTGTGGTGTCATATAGCTACCAATGGACAGACTCAGATCCAGGACTGGATCCTTGGTCCCTGCTCAGGGGCACCTACATTTATATGTCAATAGACGTCAATGCTATTGAATACTGAGGACTAGTAAGATGTGCAACTGAATTTCTACTTTAATGATGGAATAAGCTCTCATATATAGAGATAACATTTGTTTACAAAGTCCTTCCAAAATCAGTTTCCCACACCTCAGCAAGCAGCATCTATATGTTAGGGCAATGGGGACTGCATTTTAGGGCTCTCATGAATTCAGGGAGCCTTTACTGTCAATTTATCTGCATCAAGTACTGCTAGCGTCTGTGTCCTCACGAGACTCGTCTAAAAGGACTTGTTTCTTAGTATCACATAAATCAAATTCTGAATTGCCTCTGTCTCCTGAGTATCGACAGAACAAGGAATTAAATAATTCCCTGCAAAAAAATGGACCATATATTTCATTCCCCCAAATTTACGGCAATTTGTTCTGATCAAAATGTTTTCAAGAAAATTAAATATTGATAAAGTTTGGGATTAAGAAACTGTTCAATGCACATTTATGACTCTGAGCAATCCATAACCTCTGAACCATCTAGTTGAACAAAACAACCTCCTGTGTTTTGTGAGGCAAAACGTACTTAAGTTCTCCAGAATAATGCAATATTGCTGTAGAAATGACCAATTGTTAATTTCAGAAAATTAGGAACTTGTTGCCTCTGTTCAAAGTAGATAAGAAACCTCAGTTATTTGGTTAAAAGTTTCTCCTTGGGATTTTCTCCATGGCATGTGTGCCTGAAAGTGACCTGTGGAATATTCTAGTATATCTGTTTAAAAGAGGACTGTTGTTCCTCCAGCCGTGCTCTGCAGCAGCTCTGCTGGTTAGTCTCGTGGGGCATGAAAGTGCCTCAGAAATTCCACTACAAGGAGCCACAGCAGGGTCAAACTGGGTCACAGAAAGTGGGGAGGCGGATCTTGCCCCATTGAGGGCTGACTTATTTAAAGAAGGTGGAGGAAGCTGAGTAAGAATAGGGGGACAAATTTGTGGGACGCAGTGAGAGCATGTATCCTAAACGCAATATAAGCAAATCAAATCCAGTGCCCTAAACCTATGATCATAACCACGTTGAATTGTTTTCAGAAACACAAGGTTGGTTTAAACTTTGAACATCAACAAATGTTTTTTAAATCACATCCGCCAAAAAAACATGAGAATCATCATAAGATCGTCTCAATAGGTAAAGAAAAAGCATTTTATAAATTTCAACACATTTCCAATGTAGAATATCTTAGCTAATAAGGAATGGAAAAAGCCCAGTTACTCTGATTGGAAGAATCTATAGAAAAGTCAGAAAGCTTCCTATTTAATTGTGAAATATTGAGAATTGTCTCTGCTCTATAGAGAATACACAAAGACGCCCACTTCATCATGGCACTGTAGGCCCCCCAGCAGACTAGTGATGCTGAGCGTTGGGCTCGTTCTGCTGGCTACAATCTGAGCCAATTAATTATGACAAGTTAGAGATCAAGAAAGGAGGTTTTGATTCAATTAGCCGGCATAGTTGGGAAGATGGCAGACTAATGTCTCAAAAAAACCATCTTCACGGATTACAGAATCTTGAGACAGTTATATAGGGAAAATGGGCAGTAAGGAGGGGGTCCAGTGATGTTGGTCTCCAGGCATGACAGGCGTCACATTGTTCCATTCTTCTGTCAGCTGTGATGGATGCCTTGTAGGTGTGTCTCCCACCTGTGGTCAGCCTGTTTGTGGAGAGAAACTCATAGAACAAAGTTTTAATTTATCAAGGTACCAGGGAGTATATATGTAAGCAGAGGCCATAAATCAGGAGCGCATGTGAATCTTTTAGAGTACGTGCAGAGCAGCGAGTAGTCACACAGAGGAGGGGCTGGGGCCAGTTAGCCTAACAAGATGGCCTCACTTATGCTCACTTACACTAGGGAAAGAAAAAATTTACAAGATAAAAAGACTGCCATGAAATGAATGAAGCTATCATCATCTGTAGTTGCTGTCACTGTGCTAGCAAAATTTCCAAAAAAAATCTCTCGGAGCCGGCCTGGTGGCGTAGCAATGAAGTTTGTGCGCTCTGCTTCGGTGGCCCAGGGTTCATGGATTCAGGTCTTGGGTGCAGACCTACACACTGCTCGTCAGGTCATGCTGTGGTAGCATCCCACATACAAAATAGAGGAAGATTGGCACCGATGTTAGCTCAGCGCCAATCTTCCTCAACAACCAAAAAAAAAAAAATCTATGTATAAAATTTTAAAAATAATAAGGGAGTTTGGTCACAAGATAAACATACATAAATGAATTGTTTTTCCGTATGTCACAAACAGTTAAAAATTAAAAACTTAAATGATAACATACACAATAGCATAAACATTAAATTATCTAGAAAGAAATCTAGTGAAAGATGGGCAAGACCTCCACAGTGAATAGAATAAGCTTTTTGACCAAGCAATGCTATGAATAATCTACTTCTAGGGGTATATCCAAAGAAATGTTTATATGTGCTTACCAAACAACTTGTACGAAAACATTCAAAGAAGCACTATTTTTAATAATTCAAAAAGATCTACATGTTTACCAAGAGGACAGTAACAAATAAATTGTGTCATATTCATTTAGGGGAAGATTATACAGCAAAAACAATGAATACACTACAAATAATTGCATTGTTGACTCTCACAATCATACGGTAAAGAAAAGATAATTCTATATTTTTTCATTTATATAAAGGTCAAAAAAAAAAAGCCAAAACTCATCTATAATTGCCCCAGTTATGTTGCTGAAAGACTCAATTCCAGGGAAAAATCCTCTGTCCTGGGCATATCAGGACAACTAGTCACCCGGGACCAAAACTGACTGATGCTTCCTTAGTCCCAGGGAACTGCCTCTGCTTCAACCCACCTGCTTTGGTCCTGCTTTGCCATATGGAAGAGATTGTGCCAACATCCTCCACCCAAGTGTCTTTGATAGCACTGGGATACACACATGGGTAGGGTGCTACAGAGAGAGATGCCTGTGGTTGTCTTGATTCAGGATTTGTGGGTAAACAGACTCAGCACGGATTCAGTTCCTCACTGTGAACATATCAGCATCATGCCCCTCCCCAGGGACACTTCCCAATCTGCATACACCAAAGGGACAAAGCTGGGGAGGGACAACAGCTCTGACTTCCCCAGGTCAGCAGGAAATATATCACATGATCAGATTGTGATGGAAGCAGGAACGATGCTGATGATGTGACTGCCTTCCTTGGATCTGAAAAAGATTTATATGAGTTATTTTCAATTAGGAAACAGATTCAACACTTAATTTCTAAAGATTCATGACATTTAGGGAACAACTTCCTCCATGACAACTCCCCCAGTGACTCTGGAAGACAACGTAAACAACAACAAGCAAAGTCCTGCTCATTGGTCCAAATTTGGGGGGTTCAGTGTATAAAAGCCCCAGAACAGAAGGAGTCATCAGATTCTTGAAAACTCACCTCTGAACAGGAGCCCACCCTCCACCCCTGACACCATGACCCACTCCTGCTGCTCCCCTTGCTGCCAGCCTACCTGCTGCAGGACCACCTGCTGCCAGCCCACCTGCAGTGGGTCCAGCTGTTGTGAGTCCAGCTGCTGCCAGCCCTGCTGCCCCCAAACTCGCTGTCAAGTCACCTGCTGCAGGACCACCTGCTACCAACCAGCTTGTGTGACCAGCTGCCGCCCTTCCTGCTGCAGCGCTCCCTTCTGCCAGCCCACCTGCTCTGAGCCCAGCTGCGGTGGTCAAATCTGCAGTGGGTCCAGCTGCTGCCAGCCTTGCTGCCCCCAAACTCGCTGTCAAGTCACCTGCTGCAAGACCACCTGCTACCAACCAACCTGTGTGACCAGCTGCTGCCGCCCTTCCTGCTGCAGCGCTCCCTTCTGCCAGCCCACCTGCTCTGAGTCCAGCTGCTGTGGACAAACCTGCAGTCAGTCCAGCTGCTGCCAGCCTTGCTGCCCCTCAACTTGCTGTCAGACCATCTGCTGCCAGCCAGCTTGCTCTGGACCCGTGTACTGCCGGAGAACCTGCTACCACCCCACCTGCGTCTGCCTGCCTTGTTGCCAAGCCCAGAGCTGCGGATCCAGCTGCTGCCAGCCTTCCTGCTGCTGATCACCCCACCAAAGAACCACCGTCTGCACAAACCAATCTTTTTATGGCCTTGCCATTCCTAGGACACATTTACTGCCCAAGGTTGCTGAAAGCCAGCATGCTATCACTAAATTTCTGTTACTCATCTGACTGTTGAAAAGCTTGTGAACAAGCTTGATGGAGTGCAGAGGACTTCCCCCTGTTCTCCTCCTCCTGGTGTCTGTGGACCATGTGCCAGATCCTTGCATCC